GGTGTGTGTTTTGGCAGCGAGGTTGAGTCTGGAAGAAGGGTGGCTGTAGTTCCTGGAACCAGGAGGTGTAGATCCAGCTGACCAAAGATAGGTCTGTCTCTCCCAGAGGGAGCTCCGCAGTTCTCCAGAGCATGTTGGTGACTATCACGGGAACTAAACTGCTCAACTCACATTGCAGGAACCTAAATTTAGACAAGCTGAAGTCTAATGGAGACAGAATGAGTAAGGAAAAGGAGTAAGCAGATAAGAGGTTATTGTAAAAATGAACCTGGTTCCTTTAGATCAGTTTCTTTGCGAAGATGACATTGTACAGTCTAGTTTTCTGCTTCATTTTCCTTTTCTTGGCTGCATTACCTTCCAACTCAGAATTGTTTTCATTTGTTATTACCATCTTTAGCTACCTAATTGTGCTACTAATGAATACAGATAATCCAGGCATCAGGCTTTCACAGGCCCACTTCAGTGTACAGATAACGGTTTGTTGATTATGGGAGAAGGTAACTCACATTACGGAATCTATGTGCTGAAATGTTGGTGATGGGGAAAACACTGAATTCTGTAGTCCGCCTTTTAAGTTACGAACGTCCATTGTCACTTCTGTTCCATCAGGTTGTCTGCGATGAGTGAACGTGAGACAATCTGAGCCCAGTTTTAAAGCATGTGTACTTACATTTGGAACTTCAATTTCAATTTTTCGAGTGCTCGTATTAGCACTATAGCACATGAAATACATAGTTGGCTACCAAATTGCCTATTCAAGTGCACATGTATGGGGTTTGAACACTCAACGTTAAGCATCTGCATTTCAAAATCGGATCCCCTGTGCTTGAAAGCCTTGAAAATGCTACTCTATGGTCAGTCTTGTGCAGCATCAATTGAAATGCAGTTTGAATGCAATGTAGAGTTTCCAATTGCTGCTTCAGAAAGTATTATGCTGAATCTGGAACACTTTGCATAATTTAATTAATTATGCCACTAAAAACTGATTTTCTCTCAATTTAAAGCAAACAGCTTTTATGAGGGTGAACTGCAGCACCCAGGGATATCAGGTGTCCAAGCTTTTAATCCTGTTACAAAGACTTGACAACCACTGATGGAAACTGGAAAAACATAAGCCTCCAGCAGAGCAACAAGTGAAGAGGAAGAAGGCAACAGATTTTTAATACTCTTTGAAACCACTGTACGCATTAAATCGAAATCAGATGTTAAAAGTGACAGAACTGGTAGCTTGCACTTAGTTGTGCAGACGGTGAGTAGCATCTAAGGAATAACACTTATTTCGCTTTGACATTAATGAAAATAACTGTTTCCTTTAAGAGGAAAGTTGCTCTGCCTAACTAACATAAGAAAAACACAACAAATGGCCAAGGCTATTTGTATCTGTGTCTGTCCACTTAAAGTGTTCAGGAGTGCAACAGCCTATAGTTCAAAAGTGGTTTCTGATGTTATGGATTGGATTCTGCCTATGAATCATTTTCCTTGTAAACAAATCTTGATAGATGATGGCAGACTACAAATATTAAAGAATTTGTCACTGCCTAAACGCTAGCCTCGCTACTTCACTTTCTGAACTTTGTCTTCTCTCTTCCAATTTATTATTGGGTTTGATATCACTCTAAAACAATAGACACTGTAATTTTGAGGCAGGAGGGAGTGCTGATTTAGAAAAGCTCTAATTTCTGAGCCACATAAGAAGTGCCATAATTGGCAATCTATGACTGAATGTGCAAAATTCTGTGACCAGGTTAGGAAGGGTCACAGCAGAATTGACTCCATCTCCATATCAAACATCAGCATGTAACATGAAATTAACTGTACTGTAGCAGATCTTGCTAATAAATAGGGAAAATATCTGCTTACTGAGAATTCACCAGCCTTATAAAATGCAAAAACTTCCTTGTTTATAAAATTAATGAATATTCATATAATTATTAATATATATTTATGTAGTATATGTTTCCTATACATATGACATGTTGATGTAATCATATTTTGATGGGAAAGTGCAAAACAGTAAGCTTAAAGGATTTGTAAAATGGCAGCCTTGTTAAGAGTACTGTAACTTTACATGTAAATTACAAAATTTTCCTCCAAGTCTGAAATACATTTTACAAACATATAAGGAACAGAAAAATAAATGTTCAAAAAAGAATCTTCAGTGGATGGTGAAGACAGGAGAGCTTGTAGATAAAAAACCAAGACATTCTGGCCCAGGTTAATCTTACTTAAGCCATCTAAGATTAAGCCATTTGTAAAATCTTCTGCAGTTACTGTACAGATGAAGGCATGCCCAGAGGCCGTTCATTCTATTTGTCTCTTGCGGTCTTTCCCTCTTTGTTTCATTTGGGCATTACCTGATCACCAGGCAGTGCTGACTTCATCTGTGTCACGGTGCAATCACACTTGCGCTAAGCCAGCCAGCACAAGGGGCCTTTGCTGCATTCCCAAGGTTGACACACAGTATGTGATCCACTGCAAGATCGACCAGAGCAAAGGTCTCTCTTCAACTCTTTTTAACAGATGCAAAAATTAAGATTGAGGTTGTTCCTGCTTAGGATAGAGGAAAGCTGGGGAGGGACTTTTTACAAGGGCAGGTAGCGATAGGACGAGAGGGAATGGTTTTAAACTGGAAGAGGGTAGATTTAAACTAGATATTAGGAAAAAATTCTTCACTGTGAGGGTGGTGAGACACTGGCACAGGTTGCCCAGAGAAGCTGTGGATGCCCCCTCCCTGGAAGTGTTCAAGGCCAGGTTGGACAGGGCTTTGAACAACCTGGTCTGGTGGGAGGTGTCCCTGCCCATGGCAGAGGAGTTGGACTGGATGATCTTTAAGGTCCCTTTCAACTCAAACCATTCTATGGTTCTATGATTGTGTAGTCAGATTTTCAGTGGTTGTTTTTTAAGGAAGCCCGAAGTACCATAAAACCAGCCTTATTATTTTGTGGACACATGCCCTAGCACGGGATGAATGACCATTTGGAACTACTTGTTTGCCTCCATTGAATCTGCATCAACACCTACATTTTGGCTAAAATTAAATGAGGCGAACTCATGTTTTGTGTCTAACAATTATTTCCAGGGTCATATTTTTAATAGAAGAATATTCAAAATAAGTTTATGTGTCACAATGGTAAAAAGCAGAAAATTTGAGAAAGCAAAATTAGAAGGAAAAAAACCTATTTTTCCAGATAACATTTAGCTCCTTCAGTTACTTGTGTGTTTGAAAGTAGGTTCATGGCTTTCTGAGAGGCTCTGAGTTCACAAAACACATGTTCATTTATCAGAGGTGATGAGATTCAAATCATGTATTAACTAGCTCAACTCTGTACACTGCATAAAGGTTACGACAATTTCTTGCAAAATAATAAAAGTATCTCATATAATTGATTCTTTTCATTGTTTCATAAAATTGCTTTGTTTGATTGCAGGAGAGTTTGGACTGAATTTTCATTACCTGCTTCTGAACAATTTACACTGGGACTGAGACAGTATTGAGCTAATGAGTTAGAATTTATATTGAGCCTTAACTGTCTTCATGAAGTAACTAAGGAAAGAAAATCATGACAATAATGGAGTATTTTTCATTATAAACTATGTTGTACAGCTTTTACAATCAGGTTTTTAATAGATCTAGAGAAATTAAATTGGAAATCTACCAACTTTTATGCTTTTGTCATCCCAAGGAAATGATGTTAAAAAATGTCAAGACTAATGTGCTAATCCTGTTTCTACTGAAGTAAGGAGGAGGTGGTGTTTGTCCTGTTGTTTTTCAGCCCCTGTTGTTCATTAGGTAGAAAGATGTTTACAGAAAAACATTCAGAAGTGTGCACTTCACTGTAATCCCTAATGCTAAGAATTGAGTATAGATTAAATAGGTCTTGGCTGATGTTATCCTGAAGTCCTTATCAAGAGAAATTCCCATGAAAATAGTAGTGCCTTTCAAAGTCAGGAGAGTGAAATTGTGCTCTATATGAAAAAGGAAGCAATCATATATTGCTGATGTGTATATTAATACTGCTGAGAATGCATGCATATATACATATTTATTAATATATTCAAACGTTGTTTATTGATTGTATGTGGTAAATAAACTCATACAATGAGTGTACAAATTACTTTGTATGCATAAACATACATCTCTTCAGTCTCAGCATTATACATAAATATGCACCATGAATAATATAAGTCGCAGATTGGAAGATTTTAAACCTTTCATTATATGTAAATGTACAAATTAATTATGTTATATGAATTTTTAGTATTGTGATTTAATTATAGTCTCCTGTTTAATTCTGTGAGTATTTTTATGAAGAGGTCTACAACAGTGAAAAGAGATACTTCTCATATATATGAATGACTCAACTTGTCTCAACTTTTATTTGTCCACATTAATCTGATCCATTACCAGAAGACTGCAGGAATCAATTAATAATCCCTTACATTTTAATTAATAATATGAAATAAAAATTGAATGTACAAAATTGAATTGTCAGCCAAGCACATATACATGTGTGTCGGTGCCCTCAATAAATTAAAATTTTAGTTACTTCATGTAATGTTTATTTATTCACAAATACAAGAAGAAATATTAATATATTTTAAATTTTAATTGGCATAACAGGCAATGTTCTTTTTTTAGACATTTTGCAGGCAAAAATATTCTCTCTTGTATAGAACAAATACATAGTTTTACTTGCTAAGAATGGCAAAAGTATGTGTAAAAAAAACCTCAAACACAAACGTCATGTGAATGATCACAAGTATAATATGTTTAGGTATCTGTTCTAACTCTTAACTTTAAAAACTTATCCTTATATATCTTTTTTCATAGAGTGGAAAGAAACCCACAAAAGTCCTTCCCCAACCCATATATTAAAAAAAAACCCAACCAATCAACCTCACTTGCAAAAAAAGTTAGATTGCTGGCCTTGCTTGCAAATTCAGGCACTGAAAATTTGGAATCTTCCTTCATCCAAATAATATATATTCATTCCCCACAGGCAGCAGTGATGGTTCTTGGGATAAAGAAAAACTTCAGTCTCCCCCCACCCAAGGATCACAGGCCTCTGTTAACCACCCCAACTTGCCTGGACAGCATAATGTTCCAGTTAGCCATCCTCTCAACCCTCTTCAGCAGAACCACCTCCTGCCAAATGGTACGGGTTGACATCTTTCAGCACTAACATCAGCAGTTTTCCAATTCCTGTCTTTATTTTGTGTTTATATAAATAGGCCACGAAAAGTCAAAGATGTGGGGAGTATTGGAATACATCCTGTAGGGTATTAAGCAGGGGAAGCGGAGACAATAAAGAACAAATATGTATGCAATAAAAGGAATACTTAAAATAACTGCTAACCTGTGCATCAGTGGCATAATAATGCATTGCTAAGGCACCTTGCAGCAGATATTAAAAAAGATAATAAACAGCCATTGCTTAGCAATGATATCATACATTACACTTACATAAACAAAGAGGTCTAATAGCCTCTCCCAGTGGCTAGAAACCCTCCATGGTTGCCAGTAATGTACCCATGCACATCCCAGGAAAGAACTGACACATACCTGCTTTGTCCTGGAGTGTGAACCATCTTGTCACCCATCACTTGAATATTGTCCATCAGGAGAAAAAAAGACGGTGTTTTAAAAAGATGCATAAACCTATTTCCCTTTTCTTTTTTTCCTCCACCAGGACTGGAACTTCCTTTTATGATGATGCCCCACCCATTAATTCCTGTGAGTCTACCTCCAGCGTCTGTCACAATGGCCATGAGCCAGATGAATCACCTTAGTACCATCGCCAACATGGCAGCAGCAGCACAAGTGCAGAGTCCTCCATCCAGAGTTGAGACGTCTGTTATTAAGGTAACTACATTAAAAAAAAATCTATTCACAACTGTAATAAACTTTCTAAAGGTGGGTAGGTGTCAGATGTTTTAAGGTAAGACATGAAGTCAATATATGTGAGAAATCCAACAGTTATATCTCTGGGATGACAGTATACTGATGGTGTCCAGTGTTATCTTCTCTGTTCTCCTCCCCCTCTCTAAATCAGTATTAAAACAGTGCTCAAGTTGAAGCAATTTGATACAGAATACACAGCTTTCTGATTTCTCACATTTCATAGTCTGTAATCTAATGGCAACTTTCTTCAAGATATTAAGGAAGCAGCTACTTCTTTCTTAAATTAGATGGGACTATTCTTCCAACTTTAAATCTAAGCGTTTGAACTGAAATTCTGCAAATTATCTGAAGAAGGCTGAGGGGCTTGATACTTTGCCTCTGCAGAACCTAAATTGCCAAATCCCTGAACAGAATGGAAAGAAGTTGCACAGAATGGACCCAGTAATCTGCAGACCACGTTGCTATTGACCTAGAAAAATATGGCCTGATGTTCTAATCTAAGTACCTACACTTTCAAATGTAGGATCTCCATTCGAGGCCTTCAGTAGCATCCCTTTCTCACCTTTAATGACATGGGGAGTTAAAATATTGGTTTGAGAAGGTTTGTTTCTTTACATGCTGTCAACAAGGCTAGATTCCACCCCTAATGTCCATCTTGCCCATAGCTTGGGAATATAAACACTCTGCTGCTAACTGACTGTTCAATTACATGGTGATTTCTTCACCTTTGATTTTCTGTTTTCACTCGAACAGTATTTAGTAAGAGTTACTTGATACTAAAGTTCTCTGGAACACACATGGTGCTCTATTTCATTCTGAAGTTATTTTCTTAATTGGAACAGTGACCACTGGTATTACAGAGTTATCTAAAAAATGAAGATTGGGATGGAGCAAATGCTAATATGACACCTGTCAAGTATGAACTACTATGGCAACAAAACCTTGTTTTCACTACTTTTCCTGCTATTTTCCCTTCCTTCATTTTCTGTGAGCTACTTTTATTTCATATGTAAGAGTACAAAATTTGACCTTCACAAGCATTGGTAACCCTCTGTTTCTAAACTTTGACAAGCTGACTTCTAGCTTGTAAAGTTGATCTACAAGATAGCTCTAGCTATTAAGGTTGTGTAAGTTACTGTGGCCTACATTTAAATATGTCTATGGGAGCATACCCCAATCTGACTCCTGATCTTTTTCCCCAAGTAAACCAAAATCAGGTACATTTGAAGTACAACATAGCTCCTAGGCTATGTAAAAAAGGTTACCTTTTGTGGAAAGCAGGTCCTGGTGTGTTCACATATCTCAACCCATTATGGGAACGTTGCTGGATCCAGAAAACACTTAACTGAGAAGTACTTCTGTCTCCTCTGATCTAAATGTGTCTAGTAGGTTGCAGGAATATGAAAGGGAGTCTCTGTCATCGTGTAACTATATATATTATTTTAACCATAGTCACTGCCACACCAGAAGATTTTCCTTATCACAGAGCTCCTTAACTTCTTAGCAAGCTCGTTCTTGTAGCTCACCTAGTTGGAAAGATATTTCATTATATTCTGGGTTAAGATTTTGGATGTAGCTCTTTTGTTTCTCTAAAACATTTTAGCAACACTTTGAAACTTCCAAATCTTGCTTATTTAAGCATTTGTTTGTATTAATAATCTACACCATTTATATCTGTCATTTCTGAAAATTCAACTATCCCGTATTCACACTAATAAAATCTTCAGCATAGCTGCCAACTTTTGTGCAGCTCCTGGCATAACATGTTGTGGAAGTTATTTAACAAACTAGATTTCATGTTCACATCTGGTTTGTACATAACCATAAATTAAAAAGATGTGGATTTACAATGAAGTGTTTTTAAATGGCCAAATAAACCTAAGATCTATTTAGAAAGTTGTGCTCACTAAAGGGTGAAATATGCAGGGTTTTTTTTAAGTCTGCATGATTAAGTTAGAGTTTTGGGACATTTAAGTAGAACCCAATGGAGACACTACCCAAGTGCTGCCGTGACTTCTTCAGTCAAGACCTGTAACATATTGTCCACAATATATTTGTAAGGCAGGTAAATACATAAACACAGGTGTTAATCTGTCATCCAGAACTCACTTCTAAATGTAAAAGCTTGCCACACATATTTTTCTCAATAATACTTTATGGGCTCAGAAACTTTCTCTTACAGGACTTTCCTACTCTTTCCTTCAGCTGCTTTGTGGTACAACATACATCTAGATTTATGTCCTCTGTTTTTGCCTATGGCAGATGAATAGGGTCATGTGGATAGAGATAGCATAGCCAAGTAATTATGTTCCTATTTTTTAATACTGAACAGGATTGAAACATAAACCCCAGCAACATAAAAGCATGAGATCATTGTTAGGGGGATTTTCTTCCCATGAACATGGACATAATGTCACTGGCAGTTTACCTGTTCCTTACTAGGCATAGTCAGACACTGTGATTTTAGTGTCCATTGAATTATATGCACTGAGTAGTTGAGCAGGAAACTCTCTAATCAGCATACTTTTTGAACCTTGCACTGGCAGTGTAAAGATTATGAATAATAACTTACACTACAATAAAAATAAATATCTTAGAGAATAAATGTGAGAAGGCCAAACCTCAGTTTCTTTATTTTTACAGGAATGGATAAATAGTGCAGTTACTCTTTCACAAAACTGTTTGTTATAAGAATCACATCTTCCTTCTTTTACTGCTACATTTTTAGACTTTTTTAACTTTTGTTTTAATTATCTTCTAGCTCATTCTTTTAACCCTGATTTTACTTAAATATTTTTTCTTGGTGACAGCGTTATCACAAGCTGATTTGAAAAGTTTGTGAATCACTGATCTTAGACCTCATAGCTGCAACCTGAAATGACAATGTAGATTTGAAATTAGAGTACAAGATGTTTACAAGTTTAAGCTCTGCTTGAAAGTTAAGAGATCTATGAGAAATTTCTATTTTGAAAAGTAAATCAATAGTAACCTTATCTAGTTAAGTAACAAAGAACAAAATTAAGTCTTAGAAAATCTGAATCTTCAAATTATAAACAACCTGGTTCCTTGGACAGAAGAATTAACTTTGTGAACAGTGCCACAGTAGATGACTTGCTGACCTTTCCTTCCAATTCACCATGTTCACAGTTAGTGCTGTTACCTTTAAACTCACAAAGCTTGAAATGCCTTTCTATTACTGGGCAATATTTCATTTCTTCATGATAAGAAGTAGGAATAAAGCTGAGATAATGTACTAACCAAACATTTTATCCTACTGTGTTCAGGAGATGAGACAAAGACAAAATTACAAGGGAAGCCTTACAAAGCAACACCTTAGGTTTGTTTGGCAGTGAACTCTGAGCTCTGAAATCTTCAGAATTATATTTCAGAGGAGTGTTGTGCCCTTTCGAACATGAGACAAACATTAGATGTCTTTTTGTAATGGAATGTTTAGATATATGAGTTGGATGAATAAGAGGAGAGCAACAACAAGCAGGGACAGCAGATTGTGACAGCAATGAATTGCAGTCAGTGTGACAGCTGTGACCTGGGGATGCTTTAGACATGAGGTGGCTTTCATCACCTGCCCATGGTTTCAAAGGCTCAGCTTGTTAGCAGTTTCACTACATCAATTTTTTTCACTCAGCGGAAAGATATATGAAAATATAAAGGACATGCCTCATACTAATAGCAACTGGAAATAATTCTGCATTGTAACTGTTAAACCAGAAGAGCATGCTAAAACCAAAAATTGTACTTTATCCATATAATGTTACTAATACTTACAGAAATAATTAAGAATAAAGCAGAAGAAACCAATAACTACAGCTGAAAAGTTGACAAGTGGCATGGTAGTTTTCCAGTGCATATTAAATATGTGAGACTATATTTTGCTAATTCTCTAAATATATCACAACACTGGTTATGTTATACTTTTTTAAAAGGTTATATCTTCCTGTTCTTCAATAGCAGAAATTTACTATTAATTTATTTAACCAAGGAAGCTGCCAACAGGTTGTTTTTTTAATATCTCTGTTTATAGGATTATTCTGACATGAAATTTTATTTTAATGTTCAACCACTTTTTAATTTTCCATCGGCAATATGTATGTGTTCCTACTGATGTAATTTAATTTTCCTATATTTTTCACCTCTGATTGTTACCAAATCAAAGAGAAGAAATAGGACACTGCCATACAGAAAAGAGAGAAGAGAGTACATTTAAATGTCTCATGTCAGAGTGGTGGTGAGCAAGTTCAGAGAGTGGACCTGAAAGGAAATGAACTCTAAAAGGAAAATTGGCAAATTCACTTCATGCAGGGGGTGGGCAGCAAAGAAAGTGAGTGTAGAAGCTTCATCTTAAGTCTTCTGTGACTGCTGTGTGAGCTATCTTGAGTGCAGAGTTTTAATACCAAAAGATATTGACCATCATAAGACATTTCAATATGGAAAAGTTAACTGATAAATTCTTTCCAGTTATAGAAATTATTACTTTTTTTAATAGGATTAGAAAAATGATTTCTCGAAATTGTCTGGCACACTTTCCTGTTAAGACAGGGGCCATAGGAAGCACCTTGAAAGTCCAATTAGACATCCGAGACAGAAAAACCTTCCACTTCATTGTTATTACCAATAAGTGGAATTTTCCTCTACCACAAACTTGAGAAAACTGCCATAATTGTCAATCTGTCAGATGTTAATGTCTTCATGCATTGAGTAAAATTATATCCAAAGCCTATGTTAAAGGACTGTCACTGAAGTTCAAAAGACATGACACTAAAATTAGGAAATACCAGAATGCCTCTACAACCTTAATTTTGACAGCATTCTATCCATGTGGCATGGTGCAATTTTAAGTTCTCCATCACATACTGTATATTTCCGCAGAGCCACTGCCTCATTCAGTGAATGGTTGGTTATTCCCTATTTGAATTTTTTAGAAGCAGTGTTTGACCCAGTGT